TGCTGCCCTGGACGTGCTCACTAAGTTGTGTCATAAAATCTGGAGAACAACCACTTGGCCAACTGACTGGAAGAGATCCATATTTGTTCCCATTCCAAAGAAAGGTGACCAAACAGAGTGTGGAAACTATAGAACAATCTCATTGATTTCATATGCAAGGAAGATTCTACTGAGAATTATCCAAAAACGACTGGAACAGCACATCAGCAGAGAACTACCAGCAATGGATAGGATTGCCAATTTGCCACATCCTCACCATCACATTACTTCGCAATTTTTGGATTGTAGCCATTTTAGCAAGAGTGAAATGGTATCATCTTGTGGTTCTGATTTGTGTCTTTCTCTGGTGGCAGAGTAAGGAGTTGTGCTGCCAATCTAGAGGAATGTGGTTTGAATCCACCACTTACCCAATGGGAGAAAGATAAGTAGTCTTTTGTGTGATTTATAGCCTCTGAAAACCTGCTGGAGGGTCAATTATGAATGAGTTATAAGTCAATGGTAAATATCAATTAATAAAGAAGACTGGGAGAGACTTTCTTTTTAATTTTAATTTATTAATTTTAATGAACATTTGCAGAGATTTTGGATTTTCATTCATTCATTGTTGCTCTTTTTTCTTTACTCCTCTCCCCCCAGTTTGCTCCTCTTTGAAAAGCAAAATATAAACTTCGTCCTTGGTATATAATCCCCCTGACCTCGACCCTGCCACCCTCCCCAACCCCGCCTCAAATACATTCCACTGTTGTTGTTATGTGCCGTCAAGTCACTTGCGACTCATAGCGACCCTATGTACAACAGGCCTAATCTCTGCTCTGTCCTGTGCCAATCGCACAGTCTCTGATACACCTATCCTGATTACCCCAGTCACTGAATCAGCCCACCTCATAGAGGACCTTCCCCTCCTGTGCTGTCCCTCCACCCTCCCAAGCATGATGTCCCTCTCCAAGTACCGGTCCCTCTTTATAACATGTTCAAAGTATGTTAGACGGAGCCTCTGAATCCTTGCCTCCAAGGAGCAGACCGGTTTAACCCTTTCAAGGATGAATCTGTTTGTTTTCCTAGCAGTCCATGGTACCCTCAATACTCTTCTCCAGCACCAAAGCTCAAGGCATCAATTCTTCTTCTGTCCTCCCTAGTCATTGTCCAACTCTCTTGATGCATAACAAGTGATCGCAAAGACCCTGGCCTGTATCAGGCGCACCTTAGTCTCCAGAGAGACACCATTGTTCTTTAGTACTTTGGAGAGGTCCTTAACAGCAGGCTTTCCCATGGCAATACGCCTTTTAATTTCCTGGCTACTGGTGCCAAGAGTGTTGACTGT